AAACTCTGAAAATGCCTGCAAGAATTTTTTTAAAGAGGAAAATTGGGGATTTAAAAAAAAAAAGCAGAAGAACTTGGCCTAGGGAATTTCCCCGCCGGGCCTCCTGGAGATGCTTGAAGGGGCGACGGGAGGGGGGCGCGTGAAGGGGGCTGCCGAGAGCTTCCTGGAGCCGGGCGAAGACAGATCTTTTCAGAACACCAAGGTTTCATGTTTGGTTTGGTTGTTTTAAGAGCATCTCCCTTTGAAGGCACAGACCTTCCAACGGGATTTCCCTACTCCTCACCGCCGTCCTCCAAATCGGCCAGAACAGGACAAAGTTAGCAGGTCCCTAACTTTACCTGGCCCACACACACCCCCATCCTGGCGCCCCCAGCTGAACCGCAACCGGAGGTCACCCGGGGGCAGATAGGCGGCCCCGCCCCCTTTCCCAACACCTTCACCCCTCTTTCTCTTGGAAAACTGGGGAGCGCCCGGGAATGGCCCTCTCGGTCTGCGGAGTTTCGGAGAGCCGGGATGAGGCAGCCTAAACTGGTACAAAGTGAGAATCCCCCTCACCACCACCACTAGCCCCATAGGGCGTCCTTTTAGGAAGGGGGAGTAGGGCCATATAGATGTTCACACGTTGCCAGGTGACCTGGGCACCTGCGAGGGGGCCGTCCGCATCGGGACAAAGTGTGCCCAGGTGGCGCGTCGGCCCGCGTCCGTTCGAGCGGCCGCGGCGCAGCTCCGCGCTCTGAGGCCGAGGATACTGGGCCGAGACAAGCCGTCTGCACTGAACAGAAAGTTGGAGTCCGGCGCCCACCATACCGGCTCCCAGCGCAGGGGAACGTTCTAACCAACCAGGCCAGCCCACAAGGGCGTTGGGGGCGGGGGGGGCGTGCCAGGACTGGGTTCTCCCCGCTCAGGGGAGCTGGGCCCCAGGGCCTGAAAGACAGAACGCCCCCCTCTGCGGGGCACCGCTAATGAACACCTTGCCCAGGATGGGTTTTGTTTATTTGTTTGTTTGCTTGTTTGTTTGGGGGGATCAGAAACTGCTGCTCAGCCCACTCCGCAACCACCTCCAACCCCGTCCCCAAGTTCTTGCAATACCCAAAGCGCGCGAGTTGCTGCTGGGAACGGACTCAGATTTCCAACTTTGGGGAAAGGATTTCGGAAAGGGAGGTTGTGGTCCCTAATTCCTCCGCTGAAGGGAACCTCATCTGCCCCAGCACCCCCCACCGCCCACCGCTTCCCACCCCACCCCCCCACCACCACCACCACCACCCCGGCTGGGCGTGTGTGCGCGCGCGCGCGCCCCCACGGAGCCAGCGAACCTCGGCGGCGGCGCAGCTGCGAGCGAAGTCTGGGCCCCGGCCCTGGCTCCCGCGTAGACGCGAAAGGGAATTGACGTCCGGGCTGGGGAAATTGAGCCCGGCGCCAGTGGAGGACGCCGAGGGAGCGCGAGGGAAGGGGGAGCGCGGAGAACTGGGCTTCCCGAGCCACCCCACCCCCGCCCAGGCCCGCGCGCATCTCCGAGCAGCGGGCTCTGAAGAAGCACCCCACCCCGCCGCCGCCGCCGCCGCCGCCGCCGCACCCCCCAGTCCACCCCCTGCACCTGGCCCGCTCCGTTCGTCCCCTGACCTGAGCCCTCTCCCTTGCCTCTGCGCCACCGGACAGAGCATCCCGGCGCGTTCCGCTCCTGCAGAACGTTCTGGCGATAAATTCCCCCAGCTGTAACCTGCAATGGGGTCCTTTCCACCCCACCACCACCACACCACCCCCCACTGCCCACCCCCCTCATGCTCTTTCCCTCTTGGACTCTGGAGGGTGGAGGGGCAGAAGGGGGGAAAGTCACAGCGGGGAGAACCGAGCCCAGCATATGGGGGTGAGGGGCGTTGGCACCAAAACGCTCCTGCAGAAATTCAGGTCAGGTCACTCTTGGCCGGGTCCTAGCAAGCTGAGCAGAGGGCAACGCTTGGCACCTAAAGGATTGAGGGGTGGCGTTGGGGGGGGGGGGGCTGTCCTTTTTCAGTTCTCCAACTACCTATTCTGCGCAGAGCAAAAAGCAAACCTCTAGAAGGTTCTTTCCTTGCCAGCTCCTCTAAAGACAGACACACACCTCCCAAGTCCACCCCCCACCCCCAAACTGGGCTGCCCAGAGGTGGATCCGCACAGGAGGGAAAATCGCGTTGAAATTCCTGCAGAGATAAATCTCAGCAGCAAAAGCCCTGCAGCTTGAGTGGAGCACGCCACCCCCCACCCCGCCGCTGCCGCCGCCACCACCAACTTTTTTCCTGCCGTTGGTCAGAAAACAGTTTCTGGGCTTTTGGCGTCCCCTCTGGATGTAGCTGAGAAGTACAGCTTTTTTTTTTTTTTAAGTCCACTGTTTACCCTGCGTTTTGTAAGTGATACATACTGGCCTCCACCCGTGAGACAGAGTGAAAAACCTAACAAGGGTATGACTTATAAATGCTATCCTTCACGTGTCTTTTGTTCCCTATTGGTTTAAATATATAATTGTACGTGTGTACGGATAATGACGGGTACCAAGATCATCTTAGTCACTGTCAGTCTTCACGACATTTACAATGAAAGAAGGGAACGGACGACGAGATGCAAGAAAATACAAAAGCCCTAATTAAAACTTCATCTCTAAGAGATCCGCGTCTGCTCTTAAACCAGGTGCCTTTGAATCAGTTATTTTCCCAAAAGGTTCCCTCCCCAGAACCCAGAATCCGTCCATGCTAGGCGGGGACTTTTTCTCCCTCAGAAAGGATGAAGTTCTTAAATTTTCTGAGCATATATTCACGGAATCATAAGTGAAAGGCTACTGTAGGGTCAGCTCTAAAAGTCCCAGACTGTAGGGGTACTGGAGACATTCACAGACCCCGGGGCAGAGCGTTCGTTTCAAAATTAAGGACTGATTAACACGGTTAGGGCTTCCTATAGTCTGAGAAGTCCCGCTTCTCCGTCAACCTCTTTGGAAGAAAACGAGAGAAAAAAATCCGATTTTTGTGGAAATCCCTTAGGACAACACGGTTTTCAATCTTGTCCTCCTGTCCCCGCACTTTGCAAATGAGAATGACACACGCCTTTGCTAAAAAGACGAGTTAATTCACAGTAACAATCATTGAAGTTTGAAGGCAAACATTTGCCTGCGTGTGTGTTATTGGAAGGGCGGGGGTGTGAAAATGAGTTTTTTTTTCCACCGCGAAGTTGGTGCGTTTATTTGTGATTCTGAAAGTCTAGGACCCCCGGGTGGGCGACAACGATTTTTCTTCTCCCCGGGAACAAGTCCTCAACCAGGCATTGAGCCTTTGGCGTCAACACAAAGGCTGCGCTCGAATCACGCTGGAAATTGCACCAAAGACGCCCCCCACTGCCTCCCGCTCAACTCCCCACGGTCCAGGGTCCGAAAGGACGCGACAGCGGTGGGGATCGCGGCGTTATCGCGCCGGTGTTTTTAGAAAACGGGGCGCAGGCAAGCGAGCCGGCGGGGCCCCAGGGTCCGGCCCTGCACAACCCGGGTGACCAGCTCGAGCCGGGACGGCACCTTCGCCAAGTTAGTTCGTCTATCCGGGCCAGAGGCGTTTGCAAACTTTCAGCAGCTGCGGCCCTGCGGACTTTCAGCGACGGCCCGGGGTGGACGGGCAGCACCGAAGAAGGAGGGAGGGAGGGAGAGGGACCTCGGGCGGGGGTGGGGGGTACGCTGGAGGAGAGCTGGTCCCAGTTCAAGGTCGGCGGGGCGTGGGACGGCTCCCCAGCGCGCCCGGAGACCGTGCAGTCGGCTTCTCGCGGGGACGCGGCTGGTGGGATCATGAATTCCCGCTGCAAAAGAAAAAATTAAAACTAAAAAAAAAAAAAAGGTGCGGTGGGAGCCCCACCGGCCGCGGAGAACCCGCGCCTGTCCATCTATTTGTGTGGCTTCTGACAGAGGAGCAGCGGGCACCGGGGGTTCACCCCAACGAGCGCTACAGAGACCGTTTTCGGAGGAAGCAGGGCGCGGGGCAAGGGGGCGGGGGAGGGGGGCGCGTGCGGCGCGGGAATGTGCGTTCCAGACGGAGCCAGGGTCGGATTCTGCAAACTAGAGCTAAATTCCAACTCCCCTCCCGCACCTCGCGACCCCCACCACCACCACCACCAACACCACGGGTGCCGCGGAGGAGTAAAAACAAACGTCGCGGGTGGGGTGGCGGGAAGCAAACCCTAGTCTGGAAACACACGCGCGCGCACACACACACACACACACACACACACACACACACAGAGAGACGCGCGCACCCCGATGCGCCGCGGAGACGGCACCCCAATTCTCCCCTTCCGAGAGATCGGCAAACTCACACACACTTGGACGTCCCGGCTTCCCCGCCTTCCCCGCAGCCAGCCCACCCCCCCGCCCGTCCACTCCCCCCGCAGCCACCCGCCGGCCCCGCGCCGCGCTCCCCTCCCCTCCCCTCTCGTCACCCAGCTCAGCGCCACCATCCTCCTCCTCCCCCCCAAAAAAAAGAACCCCGATCCAATCAGCGGCCTGCCAACCCCGAGAAACGCCGCGCGCTGATTGGCCGGGCCGTCTCTAAGGTGAGGGGGAGTATTTATTAAAGAGCCCTTGGGCCGGGAGTCAGGAGAGCGCAGAGCCGAGCTTGAAACTGTCTGGAAACTTCCGAAGCGCCCGCGACTTTGCAACCTCACCACCCCCGGGAACTTTTCTCTGCAGGAGGAGAAGAGAACGGGGTGCAAGCACCCCCGTGTTTGCTCTTCTGTCCTCCCCTCCTCCTCCTCCTCCTCTTCTCCTCCTCTTCCTCTCCGATTCGTCTGGCCCCGGCTTGCAGCGGGCTGCTGCTGCTGCTGCTGCTACTGCTGCTGCCAGCGGGCCACCCCGCGCGCTTTCCCTAAGCGCGTCGCCGCCGCTGCCACCGCCACCGCCACCGCCACCGCCGCCGCCGCCGTCGCCGTAGCCGTCGCCGCCGCCGCCGGGGGACGCGCAAGCTCCCCGGGGGGCCGTTCGCTCCGTCGGGGCCGCCGAGGGGAGAGGAGCCCGCGCGTCGCCTCCCCCCCTCCCACCCCACCCCCCACCCCCCAGCGCCACCGGCACCGAGGGCCGCCCACCGAGGGCTGCTCGCCTTTCCCGGCCACCCAGCCCCTGCCCCGGGCCCGCGCATGAATCTCCTGGACCCCTTCATGAAGATGACCGACGAGCAGGAGAAGGGCCTGTCCGGCGCCCCCAGCCCCACCATGTCCGACGACTCGGCGGGCTCGCCGTGCCCCTCGGGCTCCGGCTCGGACACGGAGAACACGCGGCCCCAGGAGAACACGTTCCCCAAGGGCGAGCCCGACCTGAAGAAGGAGAGCGAGGAGGACAAGTTCCCCGTGTGCATCCGCGAGGCGGTCAGCCAGGTGCTCAAAGGCTACGACTGGACGCTGGTGCCCATGCCCGTGCGCGTCAACGGCTCCAGCAAGAACAAGCCGCACGTCAAGCGGCCCATGAACGCCTTCATGGTGTGGGCACAGGCGGCGCGCAGGAAGCTGGCCGACCAGTACCCGCACCTGCACAACGCCGAGCTCAGCAAGACGCTGGGCAAGCTCTGGAGGTAGGCAGGGGTGAGGAATGGGGGGTGGGGGCTGTCCGCGGCCGCGGGAGTTGGCGGGGGGGTGGTGGGGGGGAGAGGGACACGCCGGCCGCGACCACAGGCGCCCCGCGCCCCGCCTCTGAGCGGGAGGGAGCTGCGGGTCCTCGGCGCTGGCGGCGGGATGATGGGGGGCAGCGGGGGTGGAGGGGGGCGAGGTGTAACTTGGCTCAGACTTTGACAAAGTGTGCTTGGACGGTTCTCAGGGAAAGGAGTGAGGGGCGGGGTGGCGGGGTAGGAAAGGGAGGGGGGTGGACCCGAGGAAAGAGGGGAGGAGGAGGGAGGCCAGTAAGGGACGCGGTGGGAGGGGGCTGCCAGCCGGATCTCCCGACGCTGCTGAAGTTCAGTCCCCCCGTCGTGGGGGCTGGGGGTGGAGGGAGGCGTTGGCGTCTCGCGCGCTCGGGCTTGGCGGCTTGGCGCTGCGCAACCCACCGAGCCGGGCTGGAGGGGGCGCGCGGGGGGTGAGAGTGGGGGAGATCCGAGGCTGGGGGGAGGGTGACTGCCAGCTACTGGAACTGGATGGTAGCGGGCGCGGGGGGCGGGGGGCGGGGGGGGGGGCGCATGAGAAGCCTCTTGCTGCGTGGAGACGTTTTTATTTATTTATTTATTTTGGAAACTTTTTAAGAGTGTGTGGGACGTGGGGTAGAGACTGGCTAATGCCAGTAGCCCGGGCGTTTGGAGCCGCGGAGAGCGGAAAGAGCAGGTTTCCCCGACGGGGCGGGGCGGCAGTGACCGCTAAGGTTCCACTCCAAGAACTCGGTTTTGTTCTTTTTTTCTTTTCTTTTCTTTTAAAGAAAAGTTGTGGACGGCGGGAGGGAAGTTGTTGGGGGCGACAGCTCGGGGGACACCGCCCCCCTACACACACGCGCGCGCGCACGCACCAACCCTCCCCCCCACCCCCCGCGGACCTGACAACTCTTGTGCACTTCACCGAGCCCCCTCCCCTTTCCTTGCCCGCGCCCCCAGGTTGCTGAACGAGAGCGAGAAGCGGCCGTTTGTGGAGGAGGCGGAGCGGCTGCGCGTGCAGCACAAGAAGGACCACCCGGATTACAAGTACCAGCCGCGCCGGAGGAAGTCGGTGAAGAACGGGCAGGCGGAGGCCGAGGAGGCCGCCGAGCAGACGCACATCTCCCCCAATGCCATCTTCAAGGCGCTGCAGGCCGACTCGCCGCACTCCTCCTCGGGCATGAGCGAGGTTCACTCCCCTGGCGAGCACTCGGGTAAGAGCCCACCCCGCTCCGCGCTGGGAAGCTGCACAGCGCGCGCCCGCCCCTGCGAGCAGACGCTCGTCCCACCTACCCCAGCCAGGGCCCCCTGAAGCCCCCACGCGCGCACACACACGGATGCACACACACACACACACACACAGAGCAATACGAGACAAAATCTTTTTATTTGATTATTTGAGTTTTTGGCGAGGTTAACCGCCGTTACTTAGTTGCAAGACTCTCGGGGCTCCCCCAAAGCACACACTGGGCGTCTGTGCCAGTAGCAATACCGCCCTCCATCCCCCCGCCCCAACCCCAACCCACCCCGGGGCCTCTGACCCTTGCAGATAAAGGGAGGGGGGGTCGTCAGCTCAGCTGGGCGCTCGCACAGATGCGGCGGGTCCCTAAGTCACACCTGCAGGGGAGGGGGTGGAAGGCGCGGCGGGTCCCTAAGTCACACCTGCAGGGGAAGGGGGTGGAAGGCGCGCCTCGGAAGTCCCCCCCCCCCCGTACCCGAAGCACCGCCTTCCCTCTCGTTGACGCGCTTCTTCTTTGGCGGCCCCCGCAGGGCAATCCCAGGGTCCCCCGACGCCACCCACCACCCCCAAAACCGACGTGCAGCCGGGCAAGGCTGACCTGAAACGCGAGGGGCGCCCCCTGCCGGAGGGGGGCCGCCAGCCCCCCATCGACTTCCGCGACGTGGACATCGGCGAGCTGAGCAGCGACGTCATCTCCAACATCGAGACGTTCGACGTGAACGAGTTCGACCAGTACCTGCCGCCCAATGGGCACCCGGGGGTGCCCACCACGCACGGCCAGGTCACCTACACGGGCAGCTACGGCATCAGCAGCAGCGCCGCCGCGGCGGCGGCGGCCACCCCGACCGGCCCGGGGGGCCACGTGTGGCTGTCCAAGCAGCAGGCGCCGCCGCCCCCGCAGCAGGCGCCGCCGCCGCCGCAGGCGCCCCCGCCGCCGCAGGGCCCGCCCCCGCCGCCGGGCCCCCCGCCGCCGCCGGGGCCCCCGCAGCCGCAGGCGCCCCCGCCGCCGCCGCCGCCGCCGCCGCAGGCCGCGCCGCAGCCCGCGCCCCCCGCGCACACGCTCACCCCGCTGAGCGCCGAGCCGGGCGCCGCGCAGCGAACGCACATCAAGACGGAGCAGCTGAGCCCCAGCCACTACAGCGAGCAGCAGCAGCACTCGCCGCAGCAGATGGCCTACAGCCCCTTCAGCCTCCCGCACTACAGCCCCGCGTACCCGCCCCTCACGCGCGCGCAGTACGACTACGCCGACCCCCAGAACTCGTCCGCCTACTACAGCCACGCGGCCGGCCAGGGCGCGGGCCTCTACCCCACCTTCACCTACATGAATCCGGCGCAGCGGCCCATGTACACGCCCATCGCCGACACGTCGGGGGTGCCGTCCATCCCGCAGACGCACAGCCCGCAGCACTGGGAACAGCCCGTCTACACACAGCTCACCCGGCCTTGAGGATGCGCCGCCGCCCGCCCCCCCCCACCCGGCGCGCAGGGTCGGGGGCGCTGGGGGAGCTCCCCAGCGCCCCCCGCCCGCCCGAGCCCCCAGCGAGAAGCCGCGCGCCCAGCCCCGAGAAGTTCTCCCTCTGGACTGTGCTGGTCTCATTCCATTCCCTGGAGACTCGGAAGCGAAAGGCAGTTCGCCTCCCACCCACCCCCGATGTTCCCCCTGGAGAAGAACCCACCCACACACACACACACCCCGCTTCCCCCCCACCCCCGCCCCCCGGCTGACCACGTGTGTGACCACCCAGCTGCCGAGCGGTGATGGACCTGGCGGGTTTGGCCAGACACGGGACTGGCTCAGCTCGCTTGGAGCTGGCGTGGACAAGGAGGAGGAGGAGGAAGAGGAGAAGGTGGAGGAAGAGGAGGAGAAAGGAAGAGGAGAGACGAGGAGGAGGAGGAGGAGGAGGAAGAGGAGAAGCATGAGACCGACTTGCTCAATTTCTCTGCCTGTTTGGACTTTGTAATTATTTTTTAGCAGTAATTAAAGAAAAAAAAGAGTCCTCTGTGAGGAATATTCTCTATTTTAAATATTTTTAGTATGTACTGTGTATGATTCATTACCATTTTGAGGGGATTTCTACATATTTTTAGATAAAAAAAAATCAAATGCTCTTATTTTCCAACAGCTAAACTACTTAGTTGAACAGTGTGCCCTAGAATTGCGCCCAGAGTATTTTTGTACAGATTTGCTTTCTCTAACTACACACACGTACACACACACACACACAAAGTGTGTCTTCTCGTCTTAACCTGGAAACAAAAACAAAACCCAAATCTGTGTTACATGATCAGTTGGGGGGGTGGGGAGCTTTGCCTAATTCCTCCGGCTTTCCAATTCCAGGAGGAACTGCCTTAGAAAGACGACGTCGAGGGCCTTAATTTGCAAACATGGAAGGAAGTACTAGCCGAGCGTTGCATTTGGGAAGCTTTATCAGATATATTTTTCTAAAACAAGAGAATCCCACCTTGAGCCTTAAAACAGTGATGCTGGGAAAAACACTGGCGCTTTGCTGCTGCACGTCCCCTCTCCCCCACCCCAGCCTTGCACTGGCCTGTTGGATCTTAGAAGCAAAAAAGGCTAGCAGAAGAGAGGGGAGAGGAAGTCCAGGAAAATTTCAGCAGCTGTGACAGCGCCCCCAGCACACTGCCCCCTGCTTGCCTCACGGGGCGCATGTGGGAACCAGATGCTAGAGAAACTTCGGATTCACCTGTGCCTCTCTCCACACCAGCAGCCAGTTCACCTTCAAAACATTCCATGCGCTGAGATTATTTATTTTGTAAGGCGAGGTTTGAATCTTCTTTTTTTTTTAAATCTCCCTTTTTAAAAAACAACAAAAAAAACAAAACAAAACCCACCTCTAATATAGGTTGTTGGATTTTCCTCAAAGGGTATGGTCATCTGTTGTTAAATTATGTTCTTAACTGTAACCAGTTTTTTTATTTATCTCTTTAATCTTTTTTTTATTATTAAAAGCACGTTTCTTTGGATGCCTTGTCCTAGATTTGTATAAAAGCCGATGTCTGTCCTTTTTTTTTTTTTTTTTGTTTCTTTGTTGTTTTTTGTTGCAAGCAAACAGGGAACTCGGTTCTCCTTTTTTGGATAAGGATTGTGAAGTTTGTGAAGGCAGCCGCTTAGTCGGGCCCGCTGTGTTTTGCTGCCACAGATCTGTGTGTGCGTGTGTTGTGACACCAAGCAAGTGAGGCGGAGGCCGGCCTGTGTGACAAGCCTTCCCCTGCAGGTCCCCAGGGAGGGGGAGGCCTGGGAAGGGAGTTGGCCCACTGAGGAAACTTAACTTTGTGACTGCTGAGACCGCATGCAGAGTTGCGGGATTGCTTTGTTAAGAAGACAGCCAACTTATGTGTTGTTGTTTTTTTTTTCTTTAATTTAAAAAAAGATATATTAACAGTTTTGTTTAGAAGTCAGTAGGATAAAAATCTTAAAGCACTCTTATAATATGGCATCTTTCGATTTCTGTATAAAAGCAGATCTTAAAAAAAAAACCTATTTCTGTAACTTAAGAAACCTGGCATTGAAATCATATTTTGTCTTTAGGTAAGGTTTGGTTTGTGTTTGTGTTTTGTTTGTTTTGCTTGTCCCCCCACCCACCTGCCCACCCCCCACCCAGACCTTTGTGCTCCCTGTGAGACTCACCTTTCCTTTTTTTTTTCTTTCTTTTTTTTGTATATTATTGTTTACAATAAATATACATCGCATTAAAAAGAAAAATGGCCACCTGGATTGATTCCCACCCCAACCCCCCCAACGAAGAAGATCCTTTGCAGAGTTGGGGAGAAAAGTGGGCGGAGGGGGGGGGTCTTTCACAAAACAATGAAATTCACCAGAGATCATCCATGCCTAGCAGAGATGTCTTCATTTCTTAGGGGGAGCTCTGAGCCATGTTAAACAGCATCAGGGACCAGACTGTTGTGTGTCCCCCCAAACAGTGGCCGAAACACCTTGAAAAGTGACACCACCTTAGGGCACTAAGAGAATGAAAAGGAATCATGACCTTGACTCTGGTCAAGCCAACCATCTGCAGTGGGTTTCACACCCTCCCACTTTGGGGCAAAAGCTATTCCCTTGTGGAAGTCAGGAGTATCTCCAGCAGGGAGCTTGGCAGAAGCCAGAGAGGGAAGGGACTGTGTTTTTTGGTTGTTTTTTTTTTTTTAGGCGAGCAAAGTTGCTATTATTCAGAACCCATAGCCCAGAAATGAGGTGTCTGCTAAGAAGGCAAGAGAGGAGAAATCTGTTCTCTAAAGCACTGGGATGCGTCAGGCCCCCAGGGTTGATTTGCAGGGCCCATGGCAGGAGATTGCTTCCTGTTCTCTCTGGGGTAAGGCGTTCGGAGAGGCAAAGCCATCGCAGAAGGAATAAGCCCTAATCCTGTTTTCCTTGGCCTGGGTTAGATGGGGAGTTTCCAGGATCAGAGAAATGTTCAGGTCATTTTTCATTAAACAGATGAAATCACTCTTACCCTCCCACCCACAGCCACCCCACCCCCAACCCAGCTGATGGCAGGGGGGAGGGGGTGGCAGTTAGAGCCTCCTAGCAGGCCAGTTCTCTCTCCCTCCACAGGCCTGGTGGGATGGGCTGGATACCCCGTTGCTGACAGTCCCAGCCTCCACTCTCGGGGATTACCTCACGTGGTTCACTTGTGCTTACGGATTTCTGGCCCTGGGCCCGCCTTGGATCATGGCAACCAGGAACATGGTGGTTATCAAGGCGACGTTCTTCCCTGGCCTCCTTTGCAAATTCCTTCAACAAACACGGAATGAGGGCCTGTGATCTGCGGGCACTGTGCAAATCTCTCCCTGCCCCGCCCACCTCCCCCCACCAAAACAACACACACACACACACACACACACACACACACACACACACACCCCATGTGACTCTCCGTTTCTGGCTGTGTCTTCACTTCCGGTTGGCTTGGGCCCGGAGGCCATCCTCCTGTCTTACAAAATCTCTCTACCCCTGGCCTGCGCTCACAGTGGCCTCTTCCGAGGCCTCAGATTTTCACTAACTCTTGTCCTCCCCTCCTGGGCCTGATGGCTTTAGCTCTGAAGACAAACCCAGCCCACCCCACCCGGTTCCCAAGTCCCCTGCCTGCCCCCCCCACCCCCCAATCTATGCCAGCCAGTGACTGTTCTCTCCTCTGAGAGTGACCTTTGGCAGACCTTCCTAGAACTGGAATGTTCTGTTGGAACAGAAGCTTGGCTAGGCCGCCCTGTTCAAGTTGCTTAGAGGCCTGTGCCTCAGTTTCCCCCCCATGTTCAGCAGGTTTCTAATCCCTCCCTTAGGAAACCAGAGCTGAACTGGAATCTCCTGGTGGATGCAGGATTCCTCCCTCAGTAAAGAAGGGAAGTGGGGTTCTCCTGAGCTCCCCAAGAGAGTGTCACGCCCAGGGGAATCCACCACCAGATGGATTCCCACGAAGCATCCCTCAATCCCACCCACCCCACCCACCAGCTTGGCAAAGCCCAATCTCACCCGATGATAAAGTATTTTAGAGAAATTTTTCTTCTTAATCCAAATGCACAGAGCTTATCGCCCTGACAACATTTATTGGAAACACAGCACAGTCCTTCCAGACCAGAAAAGCTCATATTTAGATTCAGGATTATTTGTTTATTTGCACTTAAAATAACACCTTAAAAAAAAAGAACACTTAATAGAAAGGTCTAGTGTGTTTTTGTTTTGTTTAACAAACAGGACCACAAACTCTTTAGAATGATGAGTCTTTGGAACAATTATTAAAATATGACTTATGGGTTCATTTCATGTGTGTTGGATTTTTCCACCTTATTTCTGTCCCCTCTCTCCTTGCCCTGATTCACAATGTGAACTTTCTGAGTTACCATGGGGCACTTTTGAAATGAAATAAAATGAAATGCTGAGCTCTTACACTCGCCAGAAAAGGATTTCCTACTGATACTTGAAGGAACTTCAGTTTTAATGCTTCTCGCTTGGGCTCCTTATAGATTTCTGTATTTAAGCTCATACAACTTAATGTTCATTTTTTTGTTCATTTTTGTTCATTTTTTATGTTCATTTTTTCCTCAGTGAGTCCTCCCATACTTGTTCCTTTAATGATTGAATGCGTTATGGCATACTCATGAAATTAAAGTGCAGTGAGTAACATGGATGAGTCAATGCTAAATCCAGAGGTATCAATGTTGATATATCTTGAAGATACCGTTGAGTTTGATAGGCATCAATATTGATACATATTGAAGAGCAAATGGAATGGGGGAAAACTGTAAAAGCAAAGGCAATGTGAAGCCTCAATTGTATTCATTTATTTGATTTGGGGGCCACACCTGAGCATACTCAGGGCTGACTCCTGGCTCTGCAATCGGGTGTCACTACTGGAGCTGCTCAGGAGACCTGATGCGGTACCAGGGATCAAACCTGGGTCAGCCACATGCAAGGCAAGTACCTTCCCTGCTGGTCTGATCACCAGTGTGACTGAGTTTAA